TGGGTGTCTTGGGGCTTTTTCGGGCCCCAGCACCCCCCGGGGAGGGTTGATTGACCCGGGACAAAGACACACACACACACACACACACACACACACACACACACCCCGGCCTCCTCCCGGAAACCTCCCCCTTCCAACCACCCCCCCGGGGACAACCCCTCCCCAACCCCCCCCCCTGGGAGGGGCTTGCCTTCGAGTCAACTGCGACGTGGCTGAAGATCCTTTTGGTTTCACTGCGTCTGGCGCGCTTGAGGAGGGGGAGCCAGTGACTGCGACGACGACGGTGTCGACGATGACGACGACGGCGTCTTCCTCACGCCGAAGGGTCTGCGGATCTCCCAGATTTCATTGCGCTGTCTTCCCCGCGCCAGTCCCCCCTGGCGACGCCTGCCCCGCCGCCACTGGCGCGCTCGACGCGCCTCCGAACATTTGCGCCTACTGGTTTTTGTTCCGCCCATTCTACTGTCAGCTGGGGACGAGGAAGGATGAAGGGGTGGCGACAGGATGATGATGAGGAGGAGGAGCAACAAAAGAGCAGGAAGAGGAGTGAGGAGCGACGAGAGAGGAGGAGGGGGAGGAGGAGGAGGGGGAGGAGGAGGAGGAGGAGGAGGAGGAGGAGGAGGAGGAGGAGGCGGAGGCGGGCGGAGGCGGAGGCGGCGGAGAAGGAGGAGGAGGAAGAGGAGGTGCGACGAGGGAGGAAGAGGAGGAGGAGGAGGCGGACGAGGAGGAGGGGGAGGGCCACATGTTTTGGGCAAGGTTTCGCTAGCTTCCCTCTTCCACGCCCCCCTCTTGAGCGCGCCCGTTCTGGCTGGCCAGAGCGGCATAGTCGATGCAACGGCAGCCCTCCTCGGCATACCCTCTAAATTGTAAACGCTTTGCGTAACCCCACCAGCCCATCCAGAGACGATGCCCAGAGGAGTTGCCTCGATCAGGGAAGTGGGCAGCACGCAGAGGAAGGGTCCTTCTTGGAGCGCTCTTGGGACACTCGTGGGCGCTCTTGGGGCCGTCTTGGGGCCCCCTTGGGCCTCTCTTGCGTTTTGGGGGCCTCTTGGAGCGTCTCGGGTGCCTCGGGGAGCCGCTTGGGGCTTCTTGGGGGTCTCTTGGGAGCCTCTTGGAGGCATATTGGGCGACTCTTAGGGCCTCCTGGGCGCCTCTTGGGGCCCTCTTGAGGCGCTCTTGGGAGCCTTGGCAGCGCTCTTGGGGCCATCTTGGAGGACATCGATCAAACAAGAGGGGCGTGAACCCATCTTGGAGCGCTCTTGGGGCGCTCTTGGGTACTCTTGGGGCCGTCTTGGGAGCCCACTCGGGCCATCATGGAGCCATCTTGAGGCCTCGGATGGCCATCGGACTCGAAAAGGCGAGAAAGCACAACACATTGGTTTCGTGAGGTTTTGACTTGATTTTGGCATCTTTGGGGCCTCCTTGGGGAGCTCTTTGGCCACTTGGAGCCGTCTTGGAGCGGTCTTGGGGCCTCTTGGAGCATCTTGGGAGCCATCTTGAGGCATCTTGGGCTATCTTGAGCCATCTTGGAGATCATGCTTTCGAGGCGCTCTTGGAGCCATCTTGGGCCATCTTGGACGCTCCAACCCCTCGCGGGACCCCCCGGGTCCAGGGGAGGGGGTAGGAGGGGTACACCCTTCCCCGAAGGGGAAGAGGGGCAGATGGACGACGAACCACCCTAGACCACCTAAGCCCTAAAGGGCTGGTGGAATTCAACATGTAGCGTCGGCTAGGGTTTGAACATCGATGAGATAGCGCCGTTTGAGCGTCGATTTAGAGTCGACTAGCATGGACTGGCGTCGATCATCGCCGATCCGCAAGGGCCGACGAGATGGTATGGGAGGCTCCCATGGGTTGCCACCGAACTCCTCCCTCCCCGCCTCGCCCCTCCCTATCCCGTCTCCCTCTGCCCCGTCCCCTCTTAGCATTGCCACCTTCATGGCCGTCCACCACCGCCCCTCTGAGCATGGCCTCCCTGCTCCCTCCCTCCTCCCGCGCCCTCTGAACCCTTGGCCGTCGGAGGGCGCGAGGCGGGGTGGGGCAGCCTCTCTCGGGCCTCGAATCCGAGCACTCGGCATCGGACGCGCTGGTGTCGATGCCCACTGCCTTGGATGATTCGAGCATCGTCCCTTTTCCTCCATATCTTTTAGCCGATCCCTGTCCCCATCCCGATCCACACCATCCCGCCACTCCAGTCGTGGCTATGCCCCTCGAGACCCGAAGGGAACAGCCCATATCTTCATCTAGAGGGGCACTTCGGCCAGTGGGGCCCAGGCCACGCTGGTGGGGATAGGGGGCTGCCAAACGATACTCATTCCTGCGCCTTACGACTATTCGGACACAGTGCCCTCCCGTACCATGCGTGAGGGTCCGAAACAGGGTGAAGTTGGACTAGCGCACAGTGTGCGATTCGTATGTTCAGCCGTATTCGTATGGCTGTCCAGCTCGCATCACGTATCCATGGGCAGTGCGCGTTGCAAACGCAACAGGACGCACTCACTTGGCATGTGTAGCACCTGATTGTTTGATGCCTGAATTCTAAAGTGAAGAGGTACATGTATGTACGTGTATGGGTCAGAGTAGCGGTAATGACACGTACGAGTAGCGGGATTTCTAGTTTGTGTGGCCGCCAGATCAATTGTAGGGGTGGGCGCAGTTGTTGTTGATGTTCGCATGTGTGAGGTATCTGGTCATACGCAGTGGGGCAATGCGCAGTGGTCGGCAGAAAGCACCCGGAGTAGCAGGAACATTAGAGATTGCTGCCGTAACGTTCGCATCAACAGCAAACGCAGTGGTAACACAGGGAATGAGATGCAAGAGGCGGGATCCATGAAGGCGGGTAGTGCAGGAGGCCAGGGAAAAAACATGGAACGCCAATGTGAAGGATTATGCGTAAGGGGAGGAAGTTGTGGGAGATGAAGGTACGGAGGACGATTAGCAGGGGCAGGAATGGCATGTTGTGGCTTATGCTCATCCCTTCAGGTGGACGCCGTCGTGGACAAGGCCGTAACATGTGACACCTCGTTTACAGCCTCGGGAGGGGGGATGCACGCATTTGTTTGCGTCACGGAGAGGGGGGGATCTTCTCCGATCGCCATCGGGCTGTTTTTGTTTGTCGAGTGCCACAGTGGCGTGGCACACGCCTCCACCAATGTATCGGCGGTCCCCACGTACATGCACACAACGCCAACGCTCACTCGAATGTGCATTCCCCCCCCCTCCCTCGCACGATCGGATCAACGGCGGGCGTCACGCGAAAATCAAGTTGCTGTTGAAAGCGGCCAACCACAGCCGTGGATTCCCGAGGGGGGGGCGCGCAAAGGCGAGACTCCAACAGGACGAGTCGCAAGCAGCGCGCTGTCAAGCCTGCGCGCGGAAAAACCCGCACGCGCGTGCGCAAGCGCGCGCGGGCGACGGGGCGCAACTGCCCTCTTGCGCGCCTACGCATCCGCCCCCGCCTAAACGCAATGCCGCGCCCCAGTTCCACGCGGACCACAGCCGATTTTGACGCGCGAGCCTAAAGAGCCAGGGCAGGGGCGACGCGCCAGCCGCCTTGTTCCTTCTGGAGGGCCCGCGAACCCCGCGCCAACGGGCGGCCTCCTTGCGCGGGCCCCGACCGCTGCGAGGGTGGGTCGGCGGGATTGTGCGTTGATGCAGCTGTCGCCCGCCGTGCGCGGATTGTTTGGCGTAGAGTTCCCGAGAACAGGAAGAGGAACAGTAGGGGGAAAAGGAGGACAAGGACGGGGACCCGGCGGGAAGGAATGGGGAGGAGGACGAGGACGAGGAAAGATGAGGAACGGGAACCAGTGGAGACAGGATGATTAAAAAGGGTGGTCAATTTCTTGTGCTCGCGAGGCGTCACGAAAAAAAGGGGATGGAACAAATATTGACGATGATGGGGGAAATTTGAAGAGTTTCGTCTTCTCAGTTTACTTCTCTCCTCCGCAGATCCCTTTCGCCACCGCGCATGAGTGGCCCCAGTTGTTCGGGTCTGTGAATTCGGGTCAGGCTTTTGCATGGCCCATGCGGAATTGGCCGCGCTTCTTACCTCTGGCCGCCCGCGCCGATTCGGAAGGGACGGAACGATGGATGGAACGACGGATGGAAGGATGTAGCAGGAATACCAGGCGTCTACATGACAAGGCATTTTTCGCAAGTCCGCGCGGATTCCTTGCGTCTGCAATGGACCCCGCGAGGGGGGCAGGTCCTGCGCTGATCCACCGCGCGGGGTTCCCAAATTCGTGCCTGCGCCCGGCTTTCTCCTCCCAAGGAGCTCGCGCGCAGGCGCCTTCGCTTCCACGCAATGTGCCACACTGGCGGTTTGCGCAAACCGCGGCGTAAGGTGGCCATTCCTGGCCCCGCCCCCGCGCGTCACGGTGGGGGTCCATGACCGGTCCAAAACACGGTCCAGGATATGGCTAGTTTCGGGGGAGGAGCGGGGAATGAGGAACAAGGGAGGAAGGGGGCGCAGAGGAAGAGCGAGGAGGAGGACGAGGTGCGACGACGACGCTGCGGACGTGGACTTGCCCGGTCGATCCCAGCGGCGACCGAAGCTGGCTCGCGAGCCCACGTCCATGGAAACACGGCGCTCGTTGTGGGGATTGCGTCTGCGAAACAATTTTCCCACAACATAATGCAAGTTTGCGCGGGACATGTGCTGCCAATCCCGCTGCCGAATTGATGCATATTATTTTGTCTTATCTTGGAGGCTACATTGGACAACTTTCACACTGCGGCAGTCAAAAATGCATATTTGGCAGATGGTCCTTACTTCCTGATTATGCCGAAATGAACCATCTCAAAATATCGCGCTTACCTTGGGGACCTTCCTGGAGCCACGCGCTCCACTCGTGTGGGCCAAATCTGAGGCGAGCTAGAGTCGAACGTTCGTCGACCTAGAGTCGTAGAGTCGAACAGATCCGTTCGGCGGGCCACAGGAAGATACGCAGAGCGAACATCTAAGGAATAGAGTGCCGCATCCTGATTCGGCAGGGGGCGGAGCAGATCACGGAGGTGCCGGCCGCGGAATTCGACGTCGAGCTCTCCCGCCCCGCGGGGAAGGGGTCTTCCGGCAGCAGCCAGTGGGGCTTCAGGTGGGCGATGGGAGACAACAGGGTCGATTGCGCCGACACTCGCGCGTAAGCTTCTTATTAGAAGAATAGCCAACTGTATATATATATATATACATGTACCCATAGTATGAATAAATACCGCCCCCCCGGCCCCGGGTGCCACACCTCCCCGCCACATCTCGGGGACGCTCCCAGTACCGCTCCCCCGGGCGTTCCGGGGAGCCTCCACAGCGCTCCAGGAGGGCCCAAGCCGACTCCCAGGAGCGCCCAGAATGCGAAAGGATGGTCCAAGACGCTCCCGAGCAGCCCAAGTCAGCCTTCCGACGGTTCTCGAGGCTCCCAGGTAATCTCGAAGTGACCCGAAGAGAGGTCCGAGAGGCGTTCCGGGACGGCCCGAAGACGCCAAAATCGTAGATGTTCATTTGTTTGTTTTTTATGTTTTTGGTTTCTCGCGTTTACGAGCTTCCAACGGTCCAAGAGCGCCGAAGAGGCTCCCAAGACCGCCCCAAGACCACCCAAGACCACCCAAGAGACCCTCAGGACGGCCCCAAGACGGGCCAAGAAGGCTTCAAGACTGTCGAAGAGGCGCGCGCCCAGGACAGCCCCAGACCACCCCAGAACAGGCCCAAGGTGAGCCCAAGAGCGGGAGCAGGAGGCTTCCAGAGACCTCCGAGAGGCCGCCGGGGCCCCCCAGTGGCCCCCGACACACCCCGGATCCCTGAGAGGCCCCATAAAGACCCCGAGAGGCTCCAAGAACAGCCCAAGAGAGCTGCGAGAGCCGTCCCGAGAGAGCCCAAAGAGGGTAAAATCGTTGATTCCCCATGGTTTTTATGATGTTTTTCGCCTTCTCACGTTTTCCCGCTTCAAACCCTCGAAGATCGAGGATTTCGAAACAAAAGGGAATTCCCAGAATTTCCTTATTTTTCAATTTGGGACTCCTACCCGAGGGTCCTACACATCCCCTGACATCTGGCCGGTACCGCGCCTCCCAGCTTCCCGAGGGAGACCGCAAGACGCCGAAGGACAGCCCATGACGACCCCAAGGAGCCCCCAGAACGTAAAGAACGGCCCAACACGTTCCCGCGCAGCCCGAGACACCCTTCCGACGGCTCTCCAGGCCTCCAGGAGGCCTCCAGAACCCCCAGGGGGTCCGGAAGATCCCACACCCCTGAGGGGCCCGGCAAACAAAACCTGCGAGGCACAAACGAAAAACAGCGCCGAACAGCGCCGAGTGGGAAAAGGAAATCCCACAATTCCTTTTTTGTTCAAGTGTGGCCCCCGGTCTACTCTTGCACAACAGACCACGATTCAGACCCCCTTGCATCCCCAAAAAGAAATCAGGAAGCCGTTGAGGGTCCCAAATCGTTGAAAACCTAAAGAAAATTAATCATTTCTGCGTTTTCGCACTTCCTCTTCTATACGATTCCGAGGCTTGCGCAGGGCCTTCAAGGGAGTCCCTGGACGCAAGAAGCGACCAACATGATATTACATGAGTTACACCGCACTCACATCTATACCCCTGGGTGGGTGTATGTGCGGCCGTTTTTGCGCTGTCATGTGCGCGCATGTGCGCGGCATGTGCCAGTCATGTGCCAGGCCTGTGCGGCCCTTCTTGGATGGACTTCCTACTGTGCACGTCGTGCCCGGGCATGTGCGGGGGCATGTGCGCTGTGTTTTGATGTATCCATCATACGCACATGCACGCACAGTCCGACGCACATGCGCGCACATGCCTGCACATGCGGGAGGTGTTCGAGAATCGCAGATCTGTCATCGGCACATGCACGCACATGCCTGTGCAACCTCTCTTCGGGAGGCCGCGCGGGCCCGCACATGCACGCACATGCGGTGAAGCGCGCGGGCGCACATGCGTGCACATCCCAATGCACATGCACGCTCATGCCCTAGGAGCTGTCTGGGACCCCTGTGCCTCCAATGCCTCCTGGCCTTCGCAGAGCTAACCTGGGGCGTGCCAGGCCTTCCTGAAAGAGTTTGTTGTGCGTTTAGACTCGCCCGCTGCTGGCGGGGGCGGTTCTTCGCCCGGTTCGTGAGCTGGCGGTGGCGTGCCCTCCTAGTAAAACACTCTCCCGCGCGCCTTCTCAGCTCGGCCGGAGAAGCATGGGTGGGGGGGGAGGAGGTGGAGGGGGGGGGGGAGGAGGGGGGGCCGAGGAGGCTGACGCCCCCGGCTCGGCCGGCCCGCCCGCCTGTTCGGCTCGGCCAGAAGAGAAGGAGGAGGAGGAGGAAGAGGAGGAGGAGGAGGAGGAGGACGAGGAGGAGGAGGTGAGAGTTGCGAGGATGTCTCAGGCGAAAGTGGCTTGACGGCCCGAGCTCAGGGAATCTCGGAATCGCTAGCCTGGCTCGGCCACTGGCGAGCTCGGCCTGTGCGAATACTGTGCGTACCTGTGCGGGGCATGTGCGGGACGTGCAAGAATGCCGGGGGCGGCGTTCGTCTCCGGGCGCCGGCGCGTTCGCGTCCGGCCGGTTCCGAGTGAGACGTCGTCGGCAATCTGGAGGCCGACATGCTTTGACATGAGGTGATCTGGCCACCTTCGCCTGAGACATCCTCGCAACTCTGGTCTCGGAGATGCCCTGCCCCATGGTGGCCCAGCCACTTTCGCTTGAGACATCCTCGGAACTCTGGGTTTCGAGACGCCCTGAGCTGAGGTGGTTAGACCACTTTCGCTTGAGACATCCTCGCAACTCTGACCTCAGAGATCTCCTGCCCCATGCTGGTCAGGCCACTGTCGCCTGAGACATCCTCGCAAGTCTCGATTCCGATATGCCCCGAGCTGAGGTGGTCAGCCACTGTCGCCTGAAACATCCTCGCAACCCTGATCTCAATGATGCCCTGCTCGATAGTGTCTCGGCCCCTTTCGCCTGAGACATCCTCGGGACTCTGGGTTCCGAGACGCCCTGAGCTGAGGTGGTTAGACCACTGTCGCTTTAGACATCCTCGCCCGAGATGCACTGAGTTGAGGTGTTCAGGCCATTTTCGCTTGAGACATCCTCGCAACTCTGACCTCAATGATGCCCTGCTCCATAATGTCTCGGCCTTTTTCGCCTGAGACCCTCGCAACTCTGGGTTCCGAGATGCCCTGCCCCATGGTGGTCCGGCCACGCTTGCCTGAGACATCCTCGCAACTCTGGGTTGCGAAATGCCCCGAGCTCAGGTGGTCATGCCACTATCGCCTGCGACATCTCTGCGGCATGTGCGGGCATGTGCGTCCATGCTGTCAGAGTTTTGCTTGACCGTGCATTTGACTGTGCGTCGGACGGTGTGGCATGTGCGCGCATGTGCGGCAATGTTGTTGAGGCTTTTGCATATTTGCATGGACATGTGCATGCGACTGTGCGGCATGTGCCTGCATGTGCGGCCCCTTCCGGACCACAATTTCAAAGGGAGCACTATAGAAGTGAGCGCTATAGAAGTGAGTCCGGTGTAGCCTATCAAGCCTAGCTAGAACTTGAGCGCGCGCGAAGCGCGCGCGATGGTTCTAGTATATGTGTGTGGGTGTGGGTGTGGGTGTGTGTGTGTGTGTGTGTGTGTGTCTGTGTGTGCATTCGCAGCTACGCCTGATTCTTGGGGGATCTGGGCTGGCCGCCCTGCCGGCGCCTCTAGCGCCGCCACTGGCGCGCTAGAGGCGCAGGGAGGGGGAGCTAGCGCAGATCAAGGAGATCCCCGCGGGGTTCCGAATGTTTACGTCTGTGCCGCGGTGCAAGCCGCGGCGTGAGGTCGCTATGACTTATCGCGTAAGGTCGGTTCCCTGACATCCGCCGATTTGGTCCCAACCATCCTGTGGCTTTCGGTTCTCGTTTCGAAGAGACAGTGCCCCGCGTTCCTCTCCTCCTCCTCCACCTCCTCCTCCTTCTCCTCCTCCTCCTCCTCCTTATCCCTCCACCCTCCTCGCCTCTGGTCTTCGCATGTCTCTGTTTCGGTACACTCTCAGACGTTTCGTGGCCCCATAGGTAGTTCCACCTAAGGTCCCTGTGGCAAAGTTCGCATGCGGTTCCACCCCCATTTCGGCACACCTCTCGCACGCTTCGTGGCCCTATATGGAGCTCCACCGAGGGCCCCAGACACAAAGTTCGAATGCAATTCCACCCCCACTGCAGCGCACCCAGGCCCTTGTGGCAAGGTTCGCATGCAATTTCGCCCCCAGTTCGGCACACCCCTCACGCTTCGTGGCCCCATAGGGAGCTCCACCGAAGGCCCCCGTGGCAAAGTTCGCACGCGGTTCCACCCCCATTTCGGCGCACCCCTTATACGTTTCGTGACCCCACGGGGATCTCCACCGAAGCCCCCCGTGGCAAAGTTCGCATGCGATTCCACCCCCATTTCGGCACACCCCTCACACGCTTCGCGGCCCCATATGGAGCCAGTGGCAAGGTTCGCGTGCGGTTCCACCATCATATTGGCACACCCCTTGCATGCTTCGTGACACTATAGGGAGCCCCACCGAAGGCCCCAGTGGCTGCGTTCGCATGCAGTTTCACCGCTTATTTCGGCACACCCCGCACACGTTTCGTGGCTCCCTGTGGCAAAATTCGCATGCGGTTCCACCTCCCATTTCGTCACACCCCTCACACGCTTCGTGGCCCCATAGGGAGCTCCACCGAAGGCCACGGTGGCTGCGTTCGCATGCGGTTCCACCCCCATTTCGGCATACCCCTCATACGTTTCGTGACCCCATAGGGAGCTCCACCGAAGGCCCCCGTGGCTGCGTTCGCATGCGGTTCACCCCCCCATTTCGGCACAACCGTCAGTCACACGTTTCGTGGCCCCATAGAGAGCCCCACCGAAGGCCCCCGTGGCAAAGTTCGCATGCGGTTCCACACCCCATTTCGGCACATCCTTCACACGCTTCGTGGCCCCATAGGGATCTCCACCGAAGGACCCAGTGGCTGCATTTCCATGCGGTTCCACCCCACATTCTGGCACGCCCCTCACACGCTTCGTGGCCCCAGAGGGAGCTCCACCGAAGGCCACAGTGGCTGCGTTCGCATGCGGTTCCACCCCCATTTCGGCACACCCCTCACACGTTTCGTGACCCCGTAAGAAGTTCCATCGAAGGCCCCCGTGGCTACCGAAGGCCCCAGCGGCTGCGCTCGCAGGCGGCTAGGGAGCTCCACCGAAGAAGCGAATCCCAATTTCGCGTTCACAACTGCATATATGGTTGGGCCCTTCGCCCGGAGAAGGTTCCATCCGCGGCCCCAGAGTTCCCGACCTCGGGGGTAGTTTTCGTCTGGGCCTCCTCGTCGTCATCATCCTCCTCCTACCCCTCCTCCTCCTCCTCCTCCTCCTCCTCCTCCTCCTCCTCCTCCTCCTCCTCCCCCTCTTCCTCCTATTCCTCACCACTAACAAAAGATGCATCGTATTCTCTTCTCTTCCTGAATAACGTCCCGAAGATACCGGGTCCCGATGCCCAGCGAAGGAACCGCCGGGATAGGAAAAAACGTATCCCGGAGATTGGGGTTTCTGTTCGCTCTTCGTCTGGCCGTCCGCCACAATCCAGGCAGCTGCCAGCAAGGGCCACGCCCACCCCAGAGCAGACGCACCTTGAACAGGAGAGGCCTGCGGGCCCACCTCGGGACGCCCCAATGGTGGGCTCTAGCGCACACTGTGACCGGAACCATGGCCGCTGCGACACCTAGGGTTGTGGCAGTCGATCAATGGAGAGGAAGCGTGCTGCCAAATCATTTCCACATGTCAAACACATTTTTTCAAATTCAATGTGTACAAACATGTTTGAATCGTTTTTGAGCATGGTGCTACACATTTTAAACACATGTTTAACTCAATGCGAGGATTGTTAGAGTGTCCGCTGTCATGGCATCCACAACACTAGGGCTCGTTGTCTCGAGGGTGCGTTTAGGCCTTTCCCAAGCCGACCGCCAGGATCGGAAAGAGCAGACCCTCGGAGCTCTGGGCAGCTCCTCGTTGCTCCTCAAGGCGTCCGCCAAACTTCGAGCAGGCGATCGACTACACAGATGACGTACTCCAGATTTCGTAATAAAAGGGAGGGGGTCTGGACCCTCCAAGACAAGCCATTTCAGACCCCCCCCCGTGGGAGAACCCTCCAACGCATCGCCCCCAGACCCCCCCAGGCCCTCCAAGATAGCCTGGAAGAGACCCCCCCGAAATGAGACCCCCCTCCCTTTAAGTACGAAATCTGGAGTACCCCCTTGTTTGACTCTCCGTCGAATCTACGAACATAGGTCGGCTCGTAGGCTCGGCGCGACGAGATCGCTCCTGGGGCAGACCCATCCTGCAGCCGATGCCCTCGTCGAGAGAGCGCCAGGCAGCCGCGCGGGCCCCTGCTGCCGCCCCGCAGGTGGAGCAGGCCGCTGCTCGACGACGGCCTCCTGGTGGTCAGCAGCATCGTCGAGGACTCGCTGCTCGACAGGCGGGCGCCCCCCCGGGGGCACCGCGGCGGCTCCATCGGCGGCCGGCCAGCACGGCACCGCGCCGGCCCCCCGGCACGGCCGCGCGGGATGCTGCGTCGGCCCGCCCGCGCGTCCGTCCTCTCGGCCTCGCGCGCGGGCGGGGGGATCGCGCGGGGCAGTGCTGGTCAGCGGCGCCGGCTCGGCGTGTTCGAAGAGGAGAGACCGGCGAGGGTCTTCTTGCAGCGAGTGCCCGCCCTCGTTCTCCGGGCCCGGCGGCCGCCCTCCGCCTCCCTCTCCCCTCTCGGGGGTGGACAGAACCCCCAACAGTGACACGTCGATTAGTGAATTGTCCGTTTTCGGTTCTCGAGAGGGCGCCGTGGCCGTTGTTTTCCAGGCTTGCGCCCGCCAGGTTTGGGCCTCAGGTCGTTTTCACTAAACCACGTTTTACTAAAGGGGGGTCTGTCCATCCCCGACCCTCGTGCTGCTGGACAGGTCGTTCGCCCACTCCCGGGCAGCCAGAGCGCGGGCGCGGATATCGCCTCTGCCTCGCTGCGACGACGGAGGGGCTGCGATCAATGGGAGGCCCTCGAGGGCGGGGCCCAAGAGGGGCACGCGAGGTGCTCTTCTCTTCGCCCCCCCCCCCCCCAGCTGTCGCCCTCCCACTGAGCGACGCCCGAACGATGGACTGCTCGTGCGTTTGTGTCTCAGCCTCGCATGCTGGCGGGGATCGAGCGGGGCAATTTGAGGTAGTTCCCAACCAACCTGTGTTGTTGGGTCCTCGTTTTGAAGAGACGGTGCCCCGCGTTCCTCCTCTCCTCCTCTCCTCCTCCTCCCTCCTCACTCCTCCCCCTCCTTGCCTCTGCCCTCCGCATGTCTCTCTGTCGGCACACCGCTCACGCGTTTCGTGGCCCCATAGGGAACTCCACCTAAGGTCCCAGTGGCGGAACCCGCATGGCATCCCCACTCCATTTTGGCACACCCTTCACACGTTTTGTGGCCCCATAGGGAGCTCCACATAAGGTCGCAGTGGTGGAATTCGCATGGCATCCCCGCCCTATGTTGGCACGCCCCTGATACGTTTCGTCACCCCATAGGGGAGCTCCACCTAATGTCCCACTGGCGGAACTCGCATGGCATCCCCGCCTCATTTTGGCACGCCCCTCACACGTTTCGTGGCCCCATAGGGAGCTCCACCTAAGGTCCCAATGGCGGAATTCGCATGGCATCCCCGCCTCATTTTGGCACACCCCTCACACGTTTTGTGTCCCCATAGGGAGCTCCACCTAAGGTCACAGTGGCGGAATTCGCATGGCATCCCCGCCTCATTTTGGCACACCCCTCACACGTTTCGTGGCCCCATAGGGGTTTCACCTAAGGTCCCAGTGGGGGAACTCTCATTGCATTGCCGCCCCATTTTGGCGCACCCCTCACACGTGTCGTGGCCCCATAGGGAGCTCCACCTAAGGTCCCACTGGCAGAACTCTCATGGCAGCGCCGCCCCATTTTGGCACGCCCTTCACACGTTTCGTGGCCCTAGAGGGAGTTCCACCTAAGGTCGCAGTGGTGGAACTCGCAGGACGGGTCCGCACAATTTTGTTACACTCCTCACACGTTTCCTGGCCCCATAGGGAGCTCCACCTAAGGTCCCAGTGGCGGAACTCGCATGGCAGCCTCGCCCCATTTTGGTACACCCCTCACACATTTCGTGGCCCCATATGAAGCGTCACATAAGGGCCCAGTGGCAGGGTCCGCATGGCGGCCCTGCCCCAGGAGCTCCACCAAAGGCCCCAGTGGCAGGGATCTTATGGCCTCCCCACCCCATTTTGGCGCACCCCTCGCACGTTTCGTGGCCCCATAGGGAGCGCAACCTAAGGTCCCAGTGGCGGAACTCGCATGGCGTCGCCGCCTCCCTCACAGGGAGCTCCGCCTAAGGTCACAGTGGCGGAGCTCGCACAGCCTCGCCGCCCCATTTTGGCACACCCAGGAGGCGACGGCCCTCGCCGGGGAGCTGGGCTTAACCGAATTTATCCGCGAGGCTTGACCTGAGGAGCGGGCCCGCCCGAGCCTCGCCGTCTCTCGACAGCCTGACTGTTTAGCCTCGCGCCGCGGGTGACCCGCGCGCGTCGTTTGGATTCTCTCGGGGCGGCCAGCGCGCGTCGCGGGAACTCCATGTTGCGCTTTGCCCAGCGCCTTGCTCACCCCCGTCGTCGCTCTGCCCAGCGGCCAGAGCCTTGCCCGCTATCAGCCAGCCAGCTAGCTCTCTTTCTCTCTCTCTCTTTCTCTCTGTTCCGCGCAGCGGACGACCCGCGCGCGTCGCCGGGATCCTTTCGGGGCGACAAGCGTGCGTCGCGGGGACTCCGTGCGGCGCCGCGCCCGCAGCCTTGGACATTCTCGTGCACGGGCAGAACGGCAGAACAAAGGACGGCAAGGAAGCGGGCGCGATCCTTGTGAGGGGCGCGCCGACATGGGCGCCGACATTTACTTATGCACGTAGACTCACGCGCGCGAAGATTCATTCACAATCAGACCCGCTCGCGCTCAGAGCCACCCGCTCCCAATTTCTCGCGCGCGGACCGATCGTCTTCGTTCGAGTTGTGTGCCCCGCCGAGGATTTCGGCACGCCCCTCGCACGGTTCGTGGCCCCATATGGAACGCGGGCGAAAATGATATTCACGATTGCAGTATTCACACATGCATATGGCTGGGTCGTTCGCCAGGCCAATTTGTTTCTCATTCCTTGGCGATTTCATCCCCTGCCGATCACGAGCGTGGTCGGTGGGGAATGGGGATGAGGCTGGTCACGTCAGGATTCGCGCCAGCGCCGCCTTGGGATGCAGAGGCTTGGAGAGCTCCCGCACGGCGCCAGCGCGAATCGTGACGTGACCAGGGGGGATGGGGGGGGGGGGGGGGGACGGTCACTGGCGTTTTCGCGAACAGTATACAGACGGAGTGGTACGGTCAGTAACGTTGGTTTAGCGTGCCGCACCGTTGGCAACTCGGATGCGCAATGCCCCGCAGGCGCAATGACAGCAACAGGGACCCGAGGCTGCCACTGGCCCATTCAGAGGTGGTTCACGCCCTGACGGGGCGCTCCAGCCGTCCGCGGCATTTCCCCTCTGCCTCCCAGCCTTCCGTGCCACCTTGCGCCGCTGCAGCCTTGCCGTAGCCACGACTCAGCTTGGATCCAAAACGCCGCCGGTCAACAAACATGTCGCACCGCCGGTTCTGGCCCACCCGGCACGCAATCCACGACGCAGTCCCAAAACGTCAACAGGCCAAGTTTTTCCCAGCCTCCCGCCCCGCGGAGCGGAACGACACGCTATTCGTTCGCAGGGCATGGCGCGTCGCCAAGGCTACCGCCGCGACGCGATATTTAAGCAACGGTTCCAAAACGTCGGATGTAACTTGTGGTGGGTGAAATTGAGCATCGGCGCCAGTACATCCGCGGTCGACAAGCAGGCCCAATCTAGCCTTATCCTCACGAGTTTCGCACAATCCGACTAAATCTGGTCTGGCCCTGTCTAGCATGAAGCTTAAGCCGGTTCAGCGAGCCATCACCCTTCACTTTTAGCTCAGTGGCGCTCGATCGTTCGTACGGAGGCCTCCCAGGACTTGCCTCCTACGCGCAAGTCCGTGCCCGGGGTGGGCAAGAGTGTGGGGACGGCGACTGAGCATCTGTACGAGCTTGGCCAGGCCAGGGTCGGCGAGGTGGTCGTGTGACATGCCCCGAGCAAAAAAGGGAGGGGCTCGGAGCGGGGGGGCGTGCGGAAATTGATGATTGGGGCCACTTCGGTTTCCGGCCCCCCCCCGCAGAGCGCTCTTCTTCGATGCGCCGCCGACCCGGGCGCCAGCGGGCGCCAGGAGGCTCCAAGAATGTTCAGCTGCTGTCGCGGCCTGGGCGGGAGAGGAGCTATCTGTCCTTCACCCACGGTTGACGAGCGGATTGTCCACCACCGCTACAATAATCAGGTAGGAGGAGGAGGAGGCGGAGGCGGAGGCGGAGGAGGAGGAGGGCCTCCCTATTTTCCCTTCTCCCCGGTCTCACCTATGGTAGCGGTGGTGACAAATTGGCTTCTCAAGGGCGTCGCGAGGACGCGAAAGCTGTCGCGCCTCGCGCGGTTCGGAGGGAAAAACACTTGTGATCCATAATGCTCGAGGACGGAAGAACTGCACAAACATAAATGTTCGGAGTTCCGCGTGGATTTTTTGGATCGGCGCTGGGCCCCCAGGCGGCGGCTCCAGCGCAGCCTGTCGCGCGCTCCGCGCGCCAGGTAGGTGGTACGGTTCCAGCGACACAGCAGGAAATCCGCGCGGATCTTCGAACGTGTATGTTCATGTGTGTCTTGTATTTTCGTCTAGGCAGGGCTGACCTCTAAGTGTCTTTCAGTGTAATGCCCCCCTGTTTCCCTTGGCGAAGAAGAAAACTGGTCCCTCCTCGTCCTGTTGCTCTTCCTCCTCCTCCTGCTCCTCGTCCACCTCCTCCGCCTTCTCCTCCTACTCATCCTCCCTTTCTCTCCTCCTCCTCCTCCTCCTCCCCTTTTCCTCCTCCTCCTCCTCCTCCTCCATTCCCTTCTCCTTATAAACGATTTCTCCATGTCGCATCCCCGAGGCCAGTTTTTAGGGCGGGCCAGGCGTTTCGCCTGAGACTTCCTCACCATGTATGACCCTGAAGCTCAAACATTGGCAACAGCTTCCCAGAAGGAGGGCAGGTGGTTTTCAAAATGTGGCTCTCGCCTGAGCACCGCGCGCATTTGTTTTCAACATTTATTGAGGGCGGGCGGATTTCAAAATGTGGCTCTTGCCAGAGCGCCGCGCACATTCGTGTTCAACATTCGAAGTTTCACGGATTGAGGGTGGTTCCTTTTCAAAATGTGGTTCTCGCCTTAGCGCCGCGCGCATTCGTTTGCAACAACAGTTTCATGGATTGAGGGCGGGTGGTTTTCAACATGTGGTTCTCGCCTTAGCGTTGCGCGCATTCGTGTTCAAACTTTGCTAGAACTCTACTGATCGAGGGCGGCTA